TAAAACACTCAAAGATATACAAGTTCATGAATTTAATAAAGACATGTTTTCTTCCTCATGTTAAACATTATATAATTTCCTAAGATTTAATTGTTATCATTGTCCATCAAAAAATGTTATCATAACTGGGGACTAGCAATGTCAATATTTTAAAAGATCACTTACCCATGGAATACTTCCTTATTTCTATCACTGTGTAAAATCTGAGTGTTTTACCCTTTTTTTCATGTATTTACTTTGAGTTGTCAATTATTGTGTATACATCATATTCATCATGTTCTTTTGAAACATGTATACACTACAGAGTGGCTACATTGAGGTAATTTATACATACCTCACACTCGTTTTTTGAGGTTTTAATATCTCAATGATTTCATGACTACAACATATAGTTATCAATTGTGGTTAACATGCTACACAGTAGATTTAATGGACTTGCTCTTTGTATCTAATTAAAAGTTCACATCCTTCGACTAATGGTTTCTGAATCACTAGCCCTTGGTAACTACCATTCTCTAAGTTCAGTGACGGTATATTCCTTGTGAAAGTGGGGTCGTGTGGTACCTGCCTTCCTACGTCTGTCTTATTTCACTTCACACTGTCTCCCAACATGTATTCATGCTACTGAAAACTCAGCTGCACCACAGCAAAATGTTCCATAAGAGCCCACATTATGTGTTTCCGTAACCACTTTTCCTTTCTCCATTCATCCATTGATGGACACTTGAGTTTACTCCATACCTCAGCAGTTAAGAACAGTGCTGTCACAAACAGTGCGCAAACCTCTCTACCATGTTGAAGTTATTTGCCTTGGATACACACTCACTAGTAGGGTTGCTCAATTATATGGTAGTGCAATTTTTAATTACTTTTGAGGAATGTCATGCTTTCTGCCTGTCTGGTGACACCAATTTACACAACCAAAGGTAATGTAAGGAATTATTTTCCTCCACATCTTTACTGGCAATTTTTATTTTACATTTTTTGTTAAAAGTTTAAAAAGCCAAAAGTTTAAGTTAATCATGTTAAACTGCTAAAAGCTCAAGTCTCAAATATGTAGGAAGGGTGAATATATCTTTCCTTTTCCTTTCCTATTTGTATTTAATACACATCTTGCATCAAACTAGAACTTCATTTTATTCAGAAATAGTAATAGGCAGTAATTACATATTGCAAATTCATGGACTTCTATTTGTAGAGGAATTTCTTTTCAGCATGTGCCTTCCTGGAAAGAGCCCACCTGACTCACAGAAGAATATGAGGAAGACAGGGCACTATCAATCCCATCTCACTGAGTCACTTGCCTAAAGCTCTTAGTGCCTTTGGCTCTAAGGACAGCTCTTTCTGCATATACTGCCCGGCATCTCAAACTACAGTTACTGAGGACTGGAATATGTATTTACCAGGGAGCGGGGACAACTGAAGGATACCTACATAGCTGGGGCACATACCAGAGACAGCTACATTATTCTTTCTAGTCAATGCCTTCTAGTTCACCTAACATCTCTTCAAAATAAGTGGATACTATACTGAAGAATAAAAGATAATTAAAGTGGCTATAGTATATTAATTGCTAACGTATATTCTCTACTGTTTAAAACTTTGCGAGTTGTTACCACTGCAGAGCCTTCTAAAATAAAGTAATAAATCTGTATTTTAATACAGCAGTATTATAATTTTTAAATACTTAATGTACTTGGCATGTGACTTTTTTTGTTTGCAATAAACTTTCTTTGTTTCTTTCTCTCTTTCTTTTTTATATTCTGAAAAGTCATTTCCCTATAAGTCCAGTTCTTTTTACTCTTATCAACAGGGAAGTCATAATCCTTTGCTTAAATAGAAGCTGGTTACCATGGAAATCATTCTAATGCCACTGAGTCAATATTTTGATTTTGCTGACATGTAACATAACAAGAAAAGTCAGGCTAAGATTTATAAAAGTCACTTTCTATCTGCGTTATAATGTTGATAGCTAGAAAATCACAAAGAAAGCATAGGTCCTATAATCAACTCCAGTTAGCCGGTAATTATAAACAACTGAGAATTCATAAAAGAGCAATCTATATATTCATAGAACTTTGGCTTCAAGTTCACACATATGCACACATGCATTTAGATTTAAGACTTTCCCATGCAGAACTGAGCCCTGATTGTATCATGTTATTATTGAGATCATAACATGGTAGAAGAGATTTAAGGATAGTTTACAACTGCCTTTGTTCCTAAGAGTTCTGAGGAGAAAACAAAATTTGCATAGTAAATCAAATACTTTCCTACAGAAATACACCATATCTTCACAGGATGCTAATAACCCATCCAGTCTACTGAAGCTTCCCCATTAGACACACCAGGGGAGGGCTTCCCAGGAGTGCTCGAGAACTTTCTGAGGTGAAATATTTGAGTTGGGACTAACCAATGAACTCACTGTTCCCTGAGTAATTTTCCAAGCTTAAGTTATGACATCTTGGTTGCTGTAGATAAATCACTTTGTCTCCATTTGCCTTCTTAAGGAATGAAAGTCTACAGCTGCTCCCTATTGTTGGATAAGGGTGAGGGATCTTAGAAATAAGTGTGGCCTTCAGAAGCCAGTCACCTAAATGGCCCCATATGGGTGCTACTCTGCTGTATTTTAAGAAATTACTCACAAGTGTCTCCTGTCAGACAGGAATGATGACTTTTCCCAACATTTCACTTTCGCTGCCCAGTAGTGCTTCCTTTGAAGGGGGCTAATCTGCTGTTGGTACCTCTCCGTCCTGTCCACATGTTCCTGGCAATACAACACATTCTTACGCCACATCCCTTTCCTGTCTTCCCTCTCTACCTGTACAGGGCTTATTTTTTTTCCTTGAGTCTTTCTAGATTGCATTCAGAACTCACTCTGCTAAATCAGTAGTCTTTATAAACAACCTAATGTAATTGAGTACACAGTTTCTTGGCAGTAGGAGAGGTGTGGCCTCTACGTACAAGAGCACGATCCAGATAAATAAAAGATGCCAGTCATGAATGTCAGGGGAAACCTGAGGACAATATTGGAAATTCATAGCACTTGTGTCTCTAGGTTCCTTTGTTGTATTAATAAATAAACTAAATATCTACGTTGTTTCTAAAAAATATGGGTGTGTTGACATGTTTTGTGTGACTTGTGGCAAATTGAAGAATACATTGATAAAACTGACTTATGGAAAAAGGAATTCAATTTTTAAAAACCTCACCCAAAAATATATGCAGACAGGTACATATACATACACTAATCTTTACCATAGTACTATTCCATGCCTGTACAAACTATAGCCTCTGTAACCACTGAATAATCAAGACAGTAACCTACTGAGAAGTATACTTATCTCCTTAAAAATGGTGTTTCCTGACAAATTACATGCTAAACAAAAATAGCTACAATAAAGTAAATGAAAATACAAAACAGACAACTATGCACTATGATTTAACCTTTTCAAATAAGCATACACGTGTACATTATTCATGTCTATTCTCTCACACACATACGCACACTTATTTATACATATATAATAAACACATGTGACACAATTTTGCATATATAGGCAGTGGGTGAAACTGAGGCTTGTCTTTACAGAACTTATGAATCAGCTTCATTAAAAGACTTTTATTCTATCATTGAATAACGTGCTGAAACTATTGTCTTCTGGCTAAAAGTGCTGGAGCACTTAGACAAGAGAAAAAGAAAGGAGGGCAAAGGTCACGATGCTAGTTACCACGCGGGTACCTTGCCTCATGGATTGCATTTGAGCTTCTGCAGAAAGGTGAAGGCCAGAAGGTGAGGAAGATTTCCTGATAAACCAGGAGTCCCAGTGGCAGAGCTCTGCTCAGCTAAGGAAAGGGCTGTGTGGTTTCCACCCTGCTGCAAGCCGGCACACCAACTTGGTAGTGTGAGGACTCAAGGAAGCTTTCTGCGTTCAGCACAGGCCAGGGGGCAGAAAGACTTGGGACCTGCCACAACTCTCTTGGCAACTGGACACACTGAGGTCTTTCTCACAACAGACATGTAAAAGCCTGAATCTCACACCATGAACCAAAAGCCTGTGACCTTCGAAATTAAAATGCTAGACTCTTATTTCCAATATGGCACATTTGGAGGTGGGGCTGTGAGAGCTCAAGACAGCAGCGGTCTGCAACCTGGAAGAAAAGCCTAACCAGAGAAGAGCATCCTTGTACCTTGATTGTGCCAAGCTCTGAACTGCTGTTCATTATGAACTATCCAATCTACAACATTTGACTATACCAACCTGAACTGACAAGACAGCTTCTTATCAAAGCCCTCTTGAGACTATCCTACCATCAAGCAGCTCCCTGGAAAAGCTTGGGAAAATTGTGCTCCTGCTCAAGTAAGAGCTAAAGAATCTGTGAGCTTAGAGTGAAATGGCCCTCATTTGTGTACTGACATTGAGTTCAATGAGCAAAATGGAATACATAGTACTTAATTTTTGTATTTCTAAGCTGTGTTAAAGGTAGAAACGAGAGATAGTAAGTAGAGACGGAAATATGTAGGCCACACACATGCATCCATTTACATTCTCTGGAAAGAAATAATGTTAAAGTTATCATTTCTAAAAGATATGATAACAAATTCTTTACAAATCCCTGCCCTAAAACATTCCCCTAATAATCTCACAATGCTTCTTTGAATTATGAAAATCATGTTAATAAAAGCAAGAAAGTTTAAATTCTAGAAATATTGCTGGGCAAAATAATTTTCAAATGAGTCAGAGCTTAAAGGGGGTAAAGAAAACTCACATATTGCCTTCTCTTTCTTATTATACAAATTAAGTACATCCGTCTGGGTGCTTCTGGGTGTCATTTGAAAACACATGAATAAACAACCATCCCCCTTGGAATTTCTTTTCTGGGACTTCGGGGTGAGGGAGGCAGGATTATGTGGCCCTGTGAGGAAGGCAGATGTGGTTAGTAGGGTGACCCAAAGGTGCGGCCTGAGACTCCCAGGGGCGCGGGGCGATGAGCGTTACCTTCAGTCCTCTCGGGGGGCTTCCCGCTCTTGCTGGCCGGGGTACTGTTGACCGTCTCTGAGGAGGTGCTCAGCTTGGTGCTGGGGTCCCGCTTGGGCTTGGGGGGAGGCTGCCTCCGGGTGCAGCACCTGCTGTCAACCTCCGTGCCCCCGACAGAGTGCAGGGACTGGGACCTCACTGTGAAGCCAGAGGAGCACGGGTGGGGCAGCCGGTCCTGAGGGGCAGGCATGGTCATGAACCCCATGCGGAAGTGCTTGCCCACGTAGCTGGCGTCATGGCCTCGCCCTACGTCGCCACCTATGCTGTAAAAGAAAGCAGACCAAAATCCATGAAGAGAAATCCTCGCGAGGGCACAGATATGAGCCTATTTCACCTACAGGTAAAATGTCAAATTTTAACTTTGTACTGAAGAAAGATTCACTTGACAAAGGGACTGTGTTTGAAAACACTTTTAAGTAGCAAAAAAAACAAAAAACAAAAACAAAAACAGCTATCATTTTGTATTTAAGTATGAAAGTAAAGCAAATATAATTTGATTTCCATTAGAAATCCTAACTCCTCTTTCCAGCTATTTTGAGATTCAGGTGTAGTGAGCACCCCAAAGTGGGAAAGAGGCTGCCTCATACCCTCTCCATCTTTGTCTTCACCCCTTTTTTATTTAGTTTGAGGTAAATAATATTTGTAGCTTAAGCAATAAACAAGGATTGGGTGACAGTAAGTCCTTGAATACTTTTAAATCTGAGTGCCCAATGTTTTGACTCTTACCCACTTTATTAAGATCCTTATCAGCCTACTATAACAGGGAAAATTAAACAACACAGGTTCTGTTTTTAAACACGAGAAAGAAAGGAAGAAAGACAAACACAAGCAACATGTTGTGTTGCACACCTATAATCCCAGACCCCTGGGAGGCTAAGTGCCAATACAAAATGAAACCCAGCCCAACTGCTTTAGGAACTTAGTGAGACCGCCTCTCAAACTAAGGAGGCCTTGTTATATAGATCAGAACAGAAGCCTTAGGTTCCATCCAAGAAAGAAAGTAGAGTCAAAGGCAGAGGGAAGGAAAAGTGAAGGGAAAGATGAGAGAGAGAGAGAGAGAGAGAGAGAGAGAGAGAGAGAGACAGAGAGACAGAGAGACAGAGAGAGACAGAGACAGAGACAGACAGAGAGCGAGACAGAGACAGAGACAGAGAGACAGAGAGACAGAGACAGAGAGACAGAGAGACAGAGAGAGAGAGAGAGACAGAGAGACAGAGAGAGAGAGACAGAGAGAGAGAGACAGAGAGAGAGAGACAGAGAGAGACAGAGAGACAGAGAGAGACAGAGAGCGAGACAGAGACAGAGAGACAGAGAGAGAGACAGAGAGAGACAGAGAGACAGAGAGAGACAGAGAGACAGAGAGACAGAGAGAAAAGAGCGGAGAGAGGCAGAGGAAGGGAGGAGAGAGATGGAGAGGGAGAAGGATGAGGAGGAGAGAGAAGGAAATCAACCAGGGAGGGAAGAAGAAAAGAAAGAAAAAACAAAAAAGATAAATATATATTTTAAAGTGATGTTGAAGGAATTGTCAACCTGTCTATTTTCCAGATGCTTTCACTTGTGATGGAGATTTACTTACCACAGAAAAAGGAAAAAGAAATCCATGCTCCTAACAAGCAGAACTCTCGCAATGAAATTTGCGAAAACATTTAGTGCAGAAATATAGTGGAAAGACTGATCTGAGGGGTCTCTAATTATTTTGTAAGTATTCAAGATCCACAAAGTTTCCAAACTTGAGGTTCTTAAGTTCAACAAGGAAATTTGAACTAACATTTAAAATAAAAACATCTCTCAGTTTGAAATTCAACTAGTCATCTTGGAATTTTTTTCTGAAATTTTTTTCTCTCTCTATGCTATTAAAAAAAAGGGACATAAGTATGAACATGAACTTTTAGAAGGCAGGTTTCTCTAGAGATTTCTATATCCATAGAGTTCCTTTACCCATGGGGGGACAAATGAAAAGAAATATGACTATAAGATATTTAACTGACTATCTTACCTATTTTTTACCTATAAGTAGTAAAACGTATTCTTGAGTATTTGAATTTTGGAAGCTTGCTGAGCCTACATCTATCCATAAGTGAGTTTATCAATAATTTTTGTAACCTTTATTTTGACTGATTATTCTTTCAGAATGTGAAGAAATTCAAGGTTAGAATTACTTTTGGCTTTCTTTTATCTTTCATAATATTATGACCTTTTTCACAAGTTTAATGTCCTAGGAAAAATAATAATGAGAAATAAACAGCCAACTTAGGACAATTACATATCCACGTGGCTAAAGTCAGAAAGGACTCAACCAGAGCATTAGAGTCAGACTGTGCCATTTAATTCCAAGCATAATGTGCTACTAATTAAAAAGATTTCTAGACTGGGCATGGTGGTGTGCACCTGTAATCCCAGTACTTGGCAGGCTGAAAACAGGAGAATCACTACAAGTCCAATCTACCTAGTGAGATCCTGTAGACCCTGCATTAAATACATAAAAAAGATGTCACCTTATTTTTTAATATCTTGAGGCACTGCTCAGACACTGAGTATGCCACCTCTCTGATGAGGGGGGCTGCCAGTTCAGGCCACTGACTGAGCTCTAGATACCCAGGATGAGGAATAATATCAAAATGTTGGTGAAGTGGAAGTTGTCGCACCAGAACAGCAAGCATCCTGAATCTGGGCAGGGTTTCAATGTGCAGCATCTTCTGGGTTTATTTCAAGAACATCAATCAGGGCATAAATAAGGAGCTTCCTCAGAGTGGCTTAGTGAAAAATCATTAAGCACTCAAGAGAGAACACGGTGGAGGAGGGGAAGGCAGTGTTCATGGTGTGGGAAGTAGATTTGGGATGGCCGTGGCAGGATCTTCGCACAGAAGAGGAGATATTTGATATTAACTAATTTTCCCTTAGATTATTTTTTATCCCCATGTCGTTTACTTAGTTGTTGCTGTTGTTGTATCACTGAACAAAAGGTGTTTTAAGGATTTATTTAGATAACCATCTCATTTTCAGCAAACAGCCACCTGAGGAGATTTATGGGTGTGTTAATACACAGGGGCATCTACGAGAGACTTAAAAAATAATTATATCAGCAATTTTCCAGTTACTTTGGACGTAAATAGGGTCTGCACTTCTTTCCCAGAGAGATAATTAGCTCTGCTGAATTGTTCAGAATGATCTTTTTCTCAGCCCAATCAATTTACCTGCTTCTGTTCATAAATGTGCTTTCTCTGTCTCTCTGTCTCTCTGTCTCTGTCTCTGTCTCTCTCTCACCCCCTCCCTCTCTCTCTCCCTTTCTCTCAAACACACACACACACACACACACACACACACACACACACACACACGCACACACCCCTTCCAAGAAAAATTCAATGTTTGATTTGAACAGAGCACAGGTTACAAATTTAGTTTGCCCAGGCTGTGAGTGCAAGATGAAGCAATGGATCCAAGTTTGAGTAGTATAACTGAAGTCCACTTCCAGTTTCTGAATTTGCTAACAGACCTGGGAAATTTCTAAATAGGCAGATTCCTGGATTCTCTACTCAAGGGCAACAACTGCATTATTATATCTGTAGATTCAGAATCTCTGCACTTGTAGCCAATGAGATTGTGTTTTAAAAACTTCATCCCTATATCTGATGTGACCAGGCCAGAATCCCTTAGAAACATTAAGAACAATAGACATTACTCACCAACACCTGTTAAAAACAGAAACTACTGGCCAGTAGAATAAGTACTTGCCTGACAAGTGCAGGGTCCTGAGTTCAATCCCCAGTACAAAGAAAAAAAAAAAAAAAACAAAAAAACAAAAACCCAGAAACTACAAGTACTGAAGCAAGTGTCACAGAAAAGGAAATATGCAATGCATTATTATTCAGGCCTTTTTAGGTTATCCGGCAGTAACAATAATCTCCGTCCAGGTACTCCTGTTTACAACACTGGTTTCCTGCTTGAGTCACTGGGTCCACCTTTCTGGGGCCGTAGCTCTGCTCACTATGCTACTCTCATCTTACCCTGCAGCCCTGTCTTAGTCACATTCTCACCACTGAGGCATACTCTAAAGAAGGAAAGGTTTGGTTTGATTCACTGAATTCAGAAGTTTCAAGGCATAACCCGGTCATTCTGAAGCAAGACTTCACAGCCCATGCACATGGTAGGGTGAGTTATTTATGAGATGGCAAACAGGAAACAGAATAAAGGGGGAAGTAGGGAAGAGATAAACCCTTCCCACTGACATGACCCAGGGATCCATGTTTTCTTAACAGAACCCACCTCCTAACAGCAAGTCAGTTATGAAATCATGAGTGGCCATATCTATTAATAACTACGGTGTGTCCAGTCACCTCTCAAAGCCTGATGAGTACATGAGGTTTGGAGGGAGCATCTAGAGGATTTGGCGGATGACATCTAGGTAGAAGTTATAAGATTCTACTAAGCCGCCACATCCCTTTATGCAAAAAAGCATTTCATCCATCTCTGGGAGTGGTTAGTCGTAAGAGTCTCTGAATTGCCAAACAGTTCAAGTGCAAAAAAATCTCCTCTGAGACAGATGGCAACCTCTTTACCTGTAAGCCCCTCTAAAAAAATAAAAAAGTTAAACCTTGCCAACACACAATGGCACAGGATAAACATTCCCATTCCAAATGAAAGAACAGGGCACAAGAAACCAGTGAAACCAAAGCAAAACCAAAACCCAAACCCAGCCAGGCAAGCATTAATTCCTGTAGCTCCTTGTCTAGTACCTGGGGCAAACTGTTGCAACACGTGAACTCCAAAAGCTTTGGTTGGCGGCATTGCCAGTGGTTGTAACCCTCATAGCTTCTCTCTTGTACTGACTCTGTTCACCGCTCGTGGCTTTCCTTAGATAGTCCACATTCCTGGCTCTTCCAATTTCCTGGGGTCTCCAGTGTACTTGAGGCTTCCGATGCACAGCGTCATGCACTGCCGTCTCAGGGCCACACAGCCTGCCCTCCCAGTTCTTCTGAAATCTGGATGGAAGGTGCTCTGGACCCATGATGGTTGCATTCTGCAAGTCTGTGGAATCAGCACTATATGGATGATGCCAAAGCCTGCTGCGAGCTGGAGCAGTAGCTGGGTGTCTTTGAATCATGGCTGCACTGACCTCTGATTGGCTCGATGACCCACGGTTGAGAATTAAATCTTGTGGAATTAAGGTTCTAGGCTGCCATGCTTCTTGTGCAGCAGGGTGCCCTGGGGCTATTTTCTCCAAAGAAAGCCTTTCACTGTTGTAATGTTGAGTCTGTGAATG